GCTTTGCTTTTCTTCCTGCAAAACAATAATTTTACATCATGTGGGATCAGGTTCTGGTGCCTTGTCAAATTTTTATTTAAGCTCCTGATGTAATCCTCCAATGCCAACTCAGGGTTGCTATTTTTAAATGAATACTTTCCTTGAACTGACTTTTAATTCCTTTGGTAATTTCTGCTTGCTGTTAGCAGTTGAATAGTTGTGCCTGCGCATCAGGGTTCAGGAAAATGGCAACGTCTGCCAACAACCACAAACCTTAGCCCTGGGTCTCTGTTTCCTTGGGAGCCCCACCTTCTCTAATGGAAGTATCAGTACCCAGCGAGCACTCTGCTGGCACTCAGTCGTGGAAATATTAACACTTTGTGTCCTCTTCTAGGTAAATTAAATTTCATCATGTTTCTGGCTTTAAAAAAACCTAAAAGGAGCTGGTGGCTGTTCAAACAAGATGAAAGTACCAGCCATATTAAAACTTCTCCAAGCTCAAAATGGAGCACCCCAGTTCTCAAGAGGTTAAACCATTTAAGAAAACAGCCTCCTATTCGAAGGGGGAAAATATAGAACTCTGAAAACTCATTTAACAAGTGCATACTGTTTGTTCTCAGAAAAGTCAGCTTTTTGAATTTAGAGGAGTTGAAAGGTTCATTTCTGGAAACGGCTTGTCCTCGAGTTTTTTTAATAGTTCAGTTAAACTGGAAGTGGGAGTCACAAGATGAGTACAAAGGAAATATTCCAATCTTTTCAGTGACCCGATTTGGTGCATGATAAAGAAGTTTGCAGTGTGCCAATAAATCAAGACTTAACTCGGTTTTCCAAATGAAGCATAATAGTCTTCTACTTTGAAACAAGTTCCTCTAATAGCTATTAAAATCTGATTATTCAGCAAAAAAGAATTTACAGAGTGAAGGAAAAACATCTGAACATGGTAAGATAGCTAAGCACTGTTATTTACAATCTTAAAAGCTATTTAAGGATAGTCAGTATATTAAAAATGTAAGCAGAGGGTTTATGTAGGAAGGCTGGGAATCCTAATGGTTAAAATTGCAAGCTCTGTTTTCATGAATGCCTGGATTTAATTTTTACCTCAATTTACTAGGTCATATGGGACAATTAATCCTGTGTAAATTTTAGTTTGTACCAATGAAAAATCAGAATAACAGTAGTATATGCTTTCCTGGGTTATTATGGACACTAAAATGAGACCGTATTTAAGGGCACTAAATAACATTGGATCTGTACGCTTAAAGATTAGAAGAGTAACATAGATTTTTTCAGGATCTGTTTAGGGAGAGAAGTAGAACTATACTTTGTTATTAATGATTAGACTATTAAAGTTTCTCCAGTTAATTCTTTCATTTATGTCTACCCAAAGCAATATTACCTTTTAAAAAATGTATTTAGTACAGGGTCTACAGGGTCTCACTACACAGATCGACTCATAGTGATCCTCCTGTTTTCAGCCTCTCAAGAGCTGGGATTACAGGTGCTCGCCACCACATCCAGTCTCAGTTGCCATCTCAGTGCGCCCCGGGAGCTACACAGAGGATCAAACCTCAGTCCCTGTGTCTGCTGAGCTATCTTCCCAGCCCCACTACTACTTTTTTAATAAAGACTTTTGTAAGACATTTCCTTGTCTTTACAAAAGTTTGAATACATTTAAATATGGTTAGTTAATATATAGAATGATGTGTATCTTAATAAAACAATTTAAAAATAAAAGTTCCATTGGAAACCTGTCCCACTAGTAGACTGGGCATGGTGGCAAGCACTATAGTTCCAGCATTTGGAAGGCAGAAAACAGGAGGATACTACAAGTCCAATCTGTGTAGTGAGACCCTGTAGACCCTGCACTAAATACATGAAAATAAGAAACTTGTTTCACTAGAAAATTAAGCTTTCAACACTATACAGATATTTATTATTCTTTCACAGCTATTTTCTTACTAGTTTTAAATTGCTTCATTGACAAATAATTCTAATATTATACAGTTTGCCCTCACTTAAAGTACAATTCAATGTTTTTTTAAAAACGCATTCGCAGACTTGTGCAATCATAACCACCAAAAGAAAACCCCTTACCCATTACTGGTCTTTTTCCATTTCTCTCCAACCTGCCCTAGCCCTCAGCTCACATTGCAGGGCTTTGTGTCTCTAAGATTTGCCAATGTTTACTTGTCACATAAACGGAATTATATGTAATATACGCTCTTTGTAATTGGCTTCTGCCACTTAGCATAGCATTTAAAAAACCATCCATGTTGTACCACATACAATATCAGTGTTTCTTCCTTTTTATTATCAAATAGTACTGCATTATACAATGGACCATATCTTATTTATCAAACTATTAGTTGAGGGACATTTGGGTTCTTTTTACTTTTCGTCCATTGAAATAATACCACTATGAACATTTATGTATGAGTTTTTTAGTGGAAATATTTTTATTTAACTTAAGTATTTACTTAAGGGTGCAATTATTGTGTCATGTGTTGACTCTATGGTTAACATTTAAGGAATTGCTACACTCTACCTTTTTTCTTTCTTTCTTTTCTTTTTTCTTTTGCTACCAGGGATTAAACTCAGGACCTTATGCTTGCCAGGCAGATACTTATACCACTGAGCTATCGCCCCGTCCCACCTACACTCTTTTCTAATGTGATTATACACCGGTTTTTTTTCTTTTTTAGAGACAAAGAAGCTTCTGATTTCTCCATATTCTCACCAAAATTTTTTTATTTTTGTCTTCTTTAATTTTATCCAATCCCAATTAGCAGTATTTCATATGGTTTTCATTTGCATTTTGTTAACAGTTGATTATATTGAACACCTTTTGCTATGCTCATTGGATATTTGTACATTTTCTTAGAGAAAATCCTTTATCTGTTATTAAACTAGGTTATTTATCATCTTTTTGTGAAGTTTTCAGAGTCTTTGCATACTCCTCATACAATTCCTTTATTGGGTGTATGATTTGGCAGCATTTCATCTTACTCTACCAGTTGTTATTGTTCCATTTTGAACCAATCCTATTTTTGTTATTCACTTCAGGAATGACAAAATCATACTTGTCCTAATATTCTGTCTTCAGGAAACATAACTAGCATTTGGCAAATAATTTCAGCTATTTTTTATATCTTAACCAGAAAAACACATTAGGACAAAGGTAGAAATGACAACTTGCCTTTTCCAAAATATTCATTAAACATTAACATGATGCACTGTGAATGGTCCCAAAGAAATGAATCAATGATCAATTGATTCTCTAACCATACCATTCTTTCGTTAGTTCATTCAACTAATTGAAATAGCAGGAAATAAAATATATATTGAATGTCAAATGAGGCACAAATAATCATAGCATATTTTAGGAAGTGTTTGAGTCAGCACTGAGCAATCACTAAATTCCATGTATTATTTATACCCTCAGAAATAGATACAGTGAAGTCGTCTGTCTTGTGTTGGGTAGCTCTCAACCTGATGTGAATTGAAATATGCCCATGTTTATTGTATATGAACATATTTAAGAAGATGCAGTTCATAAAGTAATAGAGCGCTATACTAGGCAGAAGTGATCAAATAAATGTGTGTGTGTGTGTGTGTGTGTGTGTGTGTGTGTGTGTGTTCCTTTCTGTATAAAGGAAGAAGTGCAAGAATTAATACAAGTAAGATGAACTAAAGTTTCACAGTGGGAATCACAAATGATAATGTGTAAATTCTGAGCTGGATGATTGAAGAGAAGTTGGAAACTGTTAGAAGTAACAGGAAACCAAGACAAAACAAAACAAAATACCCTTTCTCTAGCTTTCCCACCCAAGTGCTATGAGGAAGAACAATATTTGTATATAAGCATATTATGTCATTTTGCAAGTGCTTTTCATCACCCCTTTCCCCACCGTTCTCCTCCGCTCATGGTCCTGAGAGCAGATTCAGAGTATAGGTGGGTATCTATGTCTTGCCTGGCTCAGAGACTGTGGGCTTTCCGGGCATCAGAGAATTGACTCTATTAGGGTAGACTTTGGACTGCTTCTTGGCTTTCAATACAAAGCATTCCTACATTCGTCCACAACTGCTCTCCACAACAGGAAGACATCATTGGCTCCCTACCAAAACCCATGTATTTTATTCTGTGAGAAGATCTGTAGAAGATTCAAGGAGTAGATTTTTTTCCTTTTACTCTCATCATTTTTTTTTTAAATACACCTCCTATAGGCAAAGCATTTTACTACACGTTGCATATTTAAATAATGGATGACACAATTTTGAAAGGGAGAATGGGATTATCATTTTTTACCAAGTTCATATTTTGCTATTAATTTAAGAGCAATGAACTCTTTGTTGAAAAAATTTGTGGCCACCAATTCTACTTCAAATTTAGTGTAAAGACATAATTTAGCCCTCTTCTGCTTCAGTTTGCCATTGAGTGCGTGCTTTCACTTCCTACCCTAACCATATCTTCTCATAAGACTTTCAGAATCAATTGATTCCTGACCAAAAAACCAAAGCAGAATCATCCCATTCCTCAGTGGATTCAGATGAAAACCACTAATAATATTAGGTCCAACTCCAAAAGGAGACTCTGCAGAAGGACCAAGCTAGGACTGCACCGAGTTGCCTGTGAGCTGTAGCAAATTTCCCCTTTGAGAGGCCATAGGATGCCACCCTCTTTAATCATGGTCAAGACAATATTGAATCAAGTTTAAAAAATAACCATTGCCTGGACAGTGGAATATACTTAATCAAGAATCTTTTTTTTTTAATTTTTTGTGATCAGTACTATTGAATGAGCAATAAATTTTTGAATCTTTTAAAAAAAGACTCAGCTGAAGCTTATATTTGCTAGAAATTGGTATTCATAGCTTATAGTTATCTATCTTTAATATCCATAGCTATCAAAATCGGGAACAAATGGAATAGTTGTTGAATTAATTATAAAGGTCCCTATTCTTTTTTCTTTTCAAACAAGTTCTTCTTAGCCAGTAATATCGTGTTCAATAAGCAGTTCATACCTGGAAGACAAAAGTCCAAGTGCTTCCAAGGGATGAGAAAATGTCCAACTCCTCAGGATGCTGTGCATTTCTGAAGTGGTCCTTTCATCCCATCCAGGTGCACTTCCCAGGACCAAAGGGAGGGAGCAGTTTTCATTATTGCAGAAGAGTCGATAAAACCATAAGTATCTTTTCTTCTCCTCTGAGAGTCTGAAAAACCAGATTTGGAACTCAAATTTCCTGGAATTTGCTGCACAAAACTGTTGCCATTAAGTGCAGGGTACAAAATCGTACTCAAGTTCTTTGAGTTCTGTTTAATTTATTTCAGAAAACCAATCTCTTATCTTCTTGGAATACTCTGATAGGCTATTCCACCAACTTATTTTTCAATAGCTGTATTCTCTTATAGAAAAACATTCTACAAAAATCACACTTGTTTTTCCTCCCTTTTACCCTTGCCAATTTTTTTTCAACATGTCATTTTAGTCAGCAAAATTTCTGCCTCCTATTTTATTTTTCTTTGAAGGTTGCAACATGTTGTATTTAAAACAATGGTAATAACCTATTGGTTCTCTTCTTTCTTTTACAAATTAATTTAAACCCAAATGGGACCCTACAGAAATAGCATATATTAAAGATGAGATTCCTTCTTCTGAGAGCAAGTTTCATCAGAGTTCAGAAAAACTCATTGTTAATTTCAAAAACAAAGATCACAATTCATCCTTGCATTCTGGCTTTAGAGTGCACTTGCAGAGTCCACTGGCAGTTTGGGGTGAAAAATACCAATAATGCCATTTTCTTACTGCTCAAGTACTTCCCCCTGGAGAGAGGCCTGAGTCAAAGATCTCAGTCTAGGACAAGGGCCACTGGTTTATCTTGTTCTGCTCACACTGCAGCTGTAGTATTCAGAACCACAGTTCATTTGGAGGACAGTGAGTCTCAAGTGACCATGGCAGCCTTTCAGCCCTGTTTCCTCCAAGTCGCACTGTAGCCCCATTTAAATCAGCCAGGATTCACAAGCAAAGCAATGATAAATATCAAATGACTTTAAATGATAATTATCTCTACAGTTCCTTATGTTTATGTCCCTTTCATAAATGTTATTTTTATCTTTCCCATTGGAAAGCCAACAGGGGGAAAAATCAGTAGTAAATTTACTAAAACGTAAGTTGTTCTGACTAAGTTTTTTTTTCCCTTCAAATACTGAACAGTGAGTTTTTTCCTTTTAGGTCTACTATTGAAGCATAAATTACATGAAAGAAAAAGCAGATTCAGTTCAATAAATTTGGACAAATACATATTTAAGATGATAATCACAGTTCTATCAAGGTATAAAAACATTTTTTTTAATTTTTTTCCTGCCACCAGGGCTAATGGTATGGTTTTCTCTACTCTGAAGTAATGATTGTTCTTTTAGAACTCTGAAATGAAACAGTGGAGTGCACACATTTTTATTTATGGTTTCTTTCTCTCAGTATAATGACTTGAAATGATCCATATTATTGAGTGCATCAAGTTTGTTCCTTTTAATTAGTGAATATTACTTTGCATGAACACATCATAGTTTGCTTATTCATTCTTCTATTTGACAGGCATTGAGTTGCTTCCTTTTTGGGGATATGAATAAAAGTGCTGTGGTTATTTGTGGGCAAGATTTTTATGGTTGTTATTTTTTCCCAGTTCTTCCAAGATAAACTAAGGGGAATGACTGGTCTATAGGTCAAGCAAGTATTTGTCTTTTGGAGAAATTGTGAAATTATCTTCCCACATGGTGGTAAAATTTTGCATTTTCACCTGCAGGATATAATAGCTGCCTACCTTTTCAATGGTATCCATTCAAATGGGTGCATAGTGATATCTATGTCCTTGTGATTGTAATTACTACTTACCTACGTGTAGATCATTTTTCATAGGCCATGTCTTTATACCTTTTCTTTTGAAGTATCTGCTTGTCTTTTGCCCATATTTTTGTTGGATTTATTTACATGATTTTTTATATAGTCTAGATACAAAAATTTTGTCATATAAATATTTTGTTTATATTTTCCCTGAACATGACTTGCCTGTTTGTTTTTGTAGTACCTTTTCAGAAATGGTCTTAAAATTTAATTACTTCAGTTTATAAAATTTTCAATAGTTTCTGCTTTCTCTTTTTTTTTTTCTTAGAAAACTTTGCCTATCCTAACATCCATTCTCCTAAGCTTTCTCTATAGTTCTAGATTTTCAATCTAGGTAATGTATTCTACCCTAATTTAATTTCTGTATGTAATATGGAGTAGGGCTACATTTCCTTTGTTTTTATTTTAATCCCATAAATACTTCTACTTGATGAATAAGCTTTTTTTCATTTATTGCTTTCATAGATTTGTAAAAAAACCCACATTGAACACGTAAGTGGGACCTTGGGTCCCTGTTTTACATTCTATTTGATTCCATTGATTTGGTCCCCTGTCCTTAACACAATACTGCCTTTTGCTTAACTGTTGCCAATTTACAATATCTGAAATAAGATATGCAAACTTACAAACTTTTTATTATTTTCATGATAGTGTGACGATTTATATCTATGTGTTAATTTATAAAATTCATCCAACTCTAATTTTCGCATCAGTTTCTCTATATATGTCCACACACATATAATACATTGACACTGCCTCAGAGGTCACAGCAATCTATTATTATTTGGAGGGTTCTTTTGTTTTTTTCTGTATTTCAATATGGGTAATTTTTTATTGCCCTGACTTCAAGTTCACATTTATATTTTTGTCTACATTGTGCAATCTAGGAAATCTATGCATCTAGTGATTTAATTTTCAGTTTATAAAATTGCCATTTCTTTCTAAATTTTTCATCTTCCACTTATATATATATCTCCTAAAACTTGTACATGTCTTTGTAATACCTGCAGTAAAATAATTGTCTGGTAGCTGAAAAAACTGGTGCCCATTTCTAGTTTATTAAAAAATTTTACTAACTTTTATACCACAAAAGGTTATATTTTCCAGATTTTTCCCATTTACTTTCCTCTTGACAGTACTCTTAGAGATATCCCAATAACTTTTCCAATTAACAAGTGTACATTATACACTTAAGGCTCCACAATGCTGAGGGTTAGCAGTCAGCTACCTTTTGGATGTTGAATGATCCTACGGAAGCTTGTTTTAATGATTTATTAGGTTGGTGCTTAAGCCGGGGCTAGAGGTCAATTCTAATACGTGCACTTCTGGTTTCTGTACTGAATATTTGAGATGTTTAGCAAGCTTTTCCTATTGTTAAGGAATCTATCAGTCTTCAAACACGGTTCAACCTCTCATGTCTACACTCATTTCCCATTTTCCTGCAGGCCTAAAAATGTCCACTTGCTCACAAGGGGCTTGATGCTCAACTACACCTTAAGGGGGCCCTATACAGAGTCTGTAGCTGCCAATCTGCCTACCTTGCTTCCCTCCCATTATGCTCTGAAGAGTCCAGCTGTCTCATCATCACTGAACTCCATTCTTGGCTTTTCTTTTAAATTTCAGCAAAGCTACATACTCTTTGCCAATGCTATGCATCCACGCCCAAAACTACTTTAATCACGAGGCTTATCTCAAGTCCCTTTTGCTCCTGAAAACAGTTGATTCACATATATTGTGGTTGTGTCACAGTTCTTTAAGTGAGTGGGGTTTGTCTGGTGTTAGGTACCCTTTGTGTTGACGTGACAACATTAATTTTTTTTATCAAAATGAATTTTTTATGTTTCATCTAAAGTCTTTCATATATTTGGAACCATTTTTTGGTTGATAAGAAAATAACTTCTTTCAATGTTTAATTTTTAAAGAATGCAAGTACATTTTTATTATATTTCCCTGACTTGGAATTGCTTGAGTCTGAATATATTTGTTCAATTGGAAAGAAGCAAATAATTAAGTCATCACCTGTGTGACAAAATGTTAATGGGCTTAAGCTTCCAATCTGACTGTTATCTGGAATGTTATCAGACTATTAATCTGATTGTAGCACAAGTTTTACCACACTGAAGGCTGAGCTTCATCTGTTTTCACAATTCAGAATGGAACTGTACTGTATTGAACATGAACACTGACAGCTAATCATATTTATACTATTAACATAAATTGAACTGGAAGTACAAAACAAGTAGAACTGAAGTTAATTTTAAAAAGCACTCTTCTAGTATTTAAAGGGAGCTTCTATTATTGTTTTGTTTCACCTTTTTGTTTGAATAGTTTAAAACATGAAAGCATTGGACTTTTATTCACAAATTCTCTCAATACAGCTATGTTGACCTCTTCTATGCAATATGCTTCTAAGTTGAACGCTTTATATTTCTGAGTACAAATTTTAAAAAATGCCTCACCTAGTTAAGATTGTCATAGTCTAATGTAAGAATGAATTGTTGGGCAGGCCAAATAGCTCAGCAGATTAATGCACCTGCATGCAGGAGCAGGGGCTGGAGGGGTAGGTGGAGTGAGAGGGTTGTAGGGTTTCGATCCCCTGGCTTGCTGTGCTGGCCCTGGCCCCTGGGCACGTTGAGATGGCCATTGAGACTGGGCCTGGTGGTGCCCTTCTGTAATCCCAGCACTTGGGAGGCTGTAAACAGGCAGATCACCATGAGTCCAATTTAGTAATGAGACCCTGAACACCCTGCAGACCCTTCCCTAAAATACAGAAAAAAAACCAAACAAACAAAAAAATGAATTGTTGATAATTGTGTCATGAGGACTATGAAACTCTTCCACCATCTTCTACCCATAAGGAACTTTCTTAATCAGACTCCTTGAAAAGACACATTAGTCCCTATGACATTTATTTTATACCTATTACTTGTCACACACCATATATGACACTGACAATGTAGTGGTCAAATAGATAAGTTCTTTCCTGCCCTACACTAGTTCTTGTGAATTAATGAAAGAACTAAGAAATATTCATATGGATGAACTGGATGACAATGACTTTGCATTAAAAGTCATAACATGAAAGGTAACATGGCAGAGCAAAGAGTGAAAGCCTTCATTAGCAACATCAATGAAGACTTCCGTGAGAGATAACATTTAAGTGAAAACTAAGGGTGTGGTGACATTGATGTGAAGAATATAGGAAAAAGTATTTCAGATAGAGCAAACATCACCTCAAACAATCTTCAAATGGGAGCAAGACTGACATATTGGATGTATGGTGAGGGAAACGGATGCCACTGCCTTGAAGTGAATGAGAAATAATATGAATTGAAATTAGAAAGCAGGGCAGTATAAGATTTGATTTTGTTTAGAGAACTATTGTTTGGCAAAATCTAAAGACTCCTTGTTTACTAATTTAGTGCTATTAAAACATTACTGTATTCATTCTTGTTCTTTTTTAAAAATCTGCCACGATAATTAGACGTATTTTACTTCGTCCTATTTACTAAAGAACTTTCTGCCTCCTGGAAGGATGGTTGAGCAGTGCTTTTCCATTGCTATGTGTAGAAATGCACCTAATCACTTATGCTTTCATGTTTTGAATGGAACGATTTTCAATCTATTCCCTTTTCCTTCATCTAATGTTGTTGAGTACCACAGGGAAAAGACTCTGTATAAGCATAGAAAATTACTTATTTGATCTCTAAACATTAATTGATCATCTAGCCATGACTTTAGGAAATGAGAGGAATTACACTCCGAGGAAGGCTTGTCCTTCGAACAGATGAGTGCTTCAAGGATGACTGATGGCATCATGAAAAGCAGGCAAAATCCACTCATAGAGCCATCACTTACAATAAAGGGGTCTGTTTCTGTGAGAGCCTGGCAATGTGTTTTAGATACTCTTTTGGTGGTTCTTCAAGATAAGTTCTATTCTCTTCAGAATCAGGTTTCATATACTCCCATCCAGTAGCTGGAAAATCAATCTGAAATAAAGAAATGATTCTCTGTGGATTGAAGGTGCTTCCAAGTACATTATTAACTCAATAATCTGTACTGCAGACTTGTGAAAAACTGAAGAACGATTCCTACTTTTTCCCGTGTTATGTAGTGCTTTACAATAATTTTTAAAGAGAATAATAGAATTTGGACTTATTTAAATGCCTATAGCACTTGCCCAGTTTTTATGCATAGATTAGTGGCCTGTGATAACTCCTAAAGGAAGTGAAAGATAACTGCGATGCATGAACTTTTAATAAAGCTAAATGTGTTATGCTTTGGTGCAAAGCTGAGATGATACCCTTTCTACATATTCATATTAAAATGTCTTTCTATTGTGAAATGAAAAATTTGAAGGTCATAATTATTTCTTTCACATAGTCACTTAGGATAATAGAGAGCTACCCTATGTTCTCAGTCTACAACCTTTGGAAATTTTTTAGACCCAAGAGTGAGTTCTTCTCCAATAATGACCTATTCTGGAAGCACATTATGTAACTAAAGGGAATATTTCTCTTTTGGATTTGTATTCAGATCTATAAAGTGAGCTAGAATCAAGCCTTAATTTTTTCCTGACTTAATTAAACTATGTTTCAGTGACAATCTGATTCTAGTAAATAAAGCAACAGTTCCAAGCTATGTCAGATTTATGAATATTTCAGTACTCAATATTTAAGCAAAATACTTCAGCAATTTTTTCATTTTAATATTAGCTAATAATTAACTTCTCTCTGCTAAACATTTGGTTGGAAATTTGAAGAAAATTGGCAAATAGACTATATACAAGTTACAGCTTGAAATTTATTTTAATGAATTTAAATATTTATTCATTTGTAAGATTTAATAATTTCATTTGATAATAACTAATGGTTTTTGAAGTTATTCTTTTTGTTATAATTTTTATCATGTATTAATTATCACTGCAATCTGACAAACAAACAAGTGATGAATAAGCTAAACCAAAGCAATGCTATAATAAATTATGCGTCCCTCTGGATTAATCTTGAAGGATTTTGTTTGTGTCTTATGTGGAAGATCATACTATACCAGGTGGTAAGATGTTATTCACTTTGTGGATAAATATTGTTATACACATGGGAAGAATACCGTAAAAATATTCAATGAATTGTGACAATTTCATGGCAGCCCCAAATAAATGGTTAGGTGGATGAAGAAATGAGAGACAGTGAGTGAGAATATAACAATATGTGCACAAATCTATATTTTTACATAGTTTACTTAGACAAGCATGTTTCTTTTTTAATATATCAGTTAACTTTATGTCAAATTACATTTTCCTGGAATATGGACCTATATAGTTACTGATTCTACAGTTACTGACAGAAAATATCAGAATTTTTCCAGTTGCCTTTTCTTTTAACTTTCTTTTTATTAGTATATGTTTGTAGTGCATAACGTGTATGTTCTTCATGGGAAGTCTTTAACCTTTTACAAAAGAGGAGTTCCCCCAAACTATGTATTAATATACTTATGCTGTGCCAGCCCCACTCTCAGAGATAGCGATTGAGACTGGGCGTGGCAACACACGCCTGCAAACCCAGAGCTTGGGAGGCTGAAAATAGGAGGATCACTATGAATCTGATCTGTGCATGAGACCCTGTGCTAATTTTATAAATATATATAATTCATGAGCATCATGAATTAAGGAAGGTACTGTGTAGTAGTATCTACAAACCCTAGATAACATTGATGAGAACAACACACAAGTTAACAAAGTTGAGGATAATAAATAGACAGTACCCCAAAGCTAAACCTCAAACCAGTTGTGGCCAACGTATGGCTCTGTCTTTCCTCTTTTGTGTTCCTGCCTGCCAAAGCCTGGGTTTGCTCCCAAATTTCTCTTTAATGAAATATTAGAATTGGTCTCTTCAAATGTCTATACTACCTGTGCCATGATACCTCTTTGGCACTCTCTGGTTTCAAACATTGAGGCTGTATTCCTTATTTTATAAACAGCAACAATCTTGAGAAGACTGTAAGGGGATTTCTCCAGGGAGAAGGGTACACTGAGACCCTGTCCCCCTCCCTTCTAATTCCTGCTCCCAATATATTGGATATCGGCTTCCATTTATCCTCCTGCTTTGCTTCTTCTCTTTTGTGTTCCTGGCCTCCCTGGTTCCTACTGCAGCCTCATGATTCAGCATACTTAAGGGGCTGTTGAGAATGCCCCTGTTGCCCATGAGCACAACCAAAAGAGGCCCAGCAGGGGACTCATAATTCTTAGCTTAATCAAAGAACTTCCGCCAGTACTGTAAATGTAGTTTGGGCCTTGTGAAGCTCATGTGTGTTAGACCATAATCTAGGGCAGCTCAGAGGAAGAAATACCATCAAACTAGTAGGATTTTTGGTCAAACACAGTGAAGGAGTTGTAGAAGTGGAGGGATAAAAATACTATCAGATATTATGTCAACTCCAAGAAAGGAAACCACTTTGTATGGAGTACGGAAAAAGCAGGGGGTAGGGAAGAGATTCGATTTGTAGCAGAGGGTCTGTGTATTGTAGAGAATGAATATAATTTACAGCTAGAAAAGGGGTGAGGAGCTGATAGTAAAGGAGAGAGAGAAGGTGTATTTTAGATAAATAAGACGTATTTATATTGTACATAGACTAAAAGCAAAATAGTGCATGTTAAAAGCTACAACATTTCCAAAGTTAGTAAAGCTTGAAGTGTCAAACAGAGAATGGCAAGGGAGGAGAAGGGAGCATGGCCTCTGGTCTCTAGGCAATGCTGATTCACTGAAGAGCGTCAGTAAGAATGTGACAAGCTCAGACTTAAGTTGTAGACCCATCACACTGTGACTAAAAGGCGGAAGAATGAACAAGTAAAGCTAAGCTGACTTGTGATAGTAGGGATGGGCTGAACCAGGGCAGAAAAGGTGAGGAACTGGGAGCACAGACTTAAAAAGCTACTGAAGATTAACGGGCAGGATGTAGCGTGGATTGCACAAGGGAGAGGGGGAGAGGGAGGAAGCAGGAAAGCAGGTAGGTGTAGGGGGAACATGAACAGACAGGAATAGCTCAGGGTGTGAATGCCATTTGGAGAGGAAGTTGGGTTCAGTTTGGGACATGCTATGCTTGAAGCTGCCAAGAAGAGATCCAGGTAGGAGTTTCAGTGAATAAATATATTTTCATTCATGTTCTCTCTCTCTCTCTCTCTCTCTCTCTCTCTCTCTCTCTTTCTCTCTCTCTCTCTCCTCTCTCTCCCCTCTCTCTCTGTCTCTGTTTCTATCTCTCATTTCTATCTCTGTGTCTGTCTTTGTGTCTCTTTGTCTGTCTCTGCCTCTGTCTCTCAGTCTCTGTCTCTGTCTCTGTCTCTCTCTCTCTCTCTCTCTCTCTCTCTCTCTCTCTCTCACTTATGATGTGAAGGATTCTACACTACAGCCATAAACTCATAAATGTACTTGAGTAGATAACATGTAGAAATCTTTAGAAACGAACAAGGCCATAAATCCTATCAATTGTATAACTAACTGTATTCAAGTGACTTGAAAACATCTATCCCCACAGAAACGTGTACACAAATCTTCCTGCCAGTCAACTTGTTAATAAACAAAATGCAGAAACAACCAAATATGTATCTCTCATATATCTGTCATTAAATGGATGAATACAAAGGTGGAGTATCCATGCAATGTAACATTATTGAAAATTAAAATGGAATAAATACTATGCTACAGCATGGATCAGCTTCAACAACACTGTGCTAAATGCAAAGAACCAGTTACAAAATATGACACTTAATTTCAAGAACAAGAAAATGCAAAGAGGCAATAAGAAGATTGATAGATGGAAAGGATTTTGTTGGGGAGGATAAATGACTAGGAGGTGATGAATTAAAAAAGTATGGTCTTTCTTTCTCTTTCTTTCTTTCTTTCTTTCTGTCTTTCTCACAGGGTCTCACTATGCAGCTCTGCCTCGGTGATCCTTCTGTCTCAGCCTCCCCAGCACTGGAATTACAGGCATGCACCACCACACCTGGTTTCAGTGGCACCTTCGGCCCCTGGGGTTCCAGGGCCAGCATGGCATGTGGTATGGAGAAGAAAACCCAGGTCTCTGTGCTTGCCAGGCAGGTGCTTAGACTGCTAAACTATATTCCCAGCCTCAAAGAATGGTATTTCTTTGAGTTTATGAATCTGCTCTTGAATTAACTCTAGAATTAACTGTGGTGATAGGTGCATATATTTGTGGAAATACTGAAAAATACTTCATTACACACTTAGAATTGGAGAATTTCATGGGGAGGATAAAGAACTAGGAGAGGATAGATAAAAAGTATGGTTTTCTTTCTCTTTCTTCTTTCTTTCTTTCTTTCTTTCTTTCTTTCTTTCTTTCTTTCTTTCTTTCTTTCTTCTTTCTTTCTTTCTTCCATTATACCATAGCTCATATATATGTAGGACTAAATATCTAAGCTAATCAAAAGTTTTTTTGCAGTTTAAAAAGATGAAAAAGCTAACTACCATGATTTGGTTATTGTACCTTATATAGATGATATCATGCCATACCACCAAATAGGTGTTTTTGAAATAAAACAATAAGTAGTAATTAAAATGTTGAATTGCAAAATAAAAATAAGTGAAAATTTTATTTCAGTGAAGTCATTGGGAATAGTAATGGGCAGCAGACTGATCCCTTGTGGAAGGTCTACCTTGAGGTTTAGCCCCCGGAAGGAGTGAGGGGGGAAGAGCCAGAGAGAGAAGGGGACCACAGGAGGCAGAACAGCAGAGTCAAGGGAGAACACTGCCCAGCAGCAGAGTACAGATAGCCTCAGAACGAGCAGAGAGGGTGGGCACAGACAGGACTGAAAACCACCTCTGGGGTTCATACAGAGGAATGAAGTTACTTGACAATATTACATATAGTGACAACAAGCTAGAGTATGGCAAATCTGAATAAAAATGGGAAAGTAAGGAGCAGAGACATACTAAACCAGGACATGGGGTTGGCCAAATAGCTCAGCGCATTAAAGCACCTGCGAGCAGGTGCAGGGGCCGGGGTTTGATCCTTGGGCCTGCTGTGCTGGCCCTGCCCCTGGGGCACACTGAGAGGGCAATTGAGACTGGGTGTGGTCTCAATTACAGATGCGGGCCTGTAATCCCAACTCTTGGGAGGCTGTAAACAGGCGGATCACTCGAGTCCGATCTAGTAGTGAGACCCTGAACACCCTGTAGACCCTTCCCTAAAACACAAAAATAAATAAATAAATAAATAAATAAATAAATAAATAAATAAAAATTAAAGAAGGACAGCATTGCCACACATGCCACCTCTCTGCTCCTAGCTCTTAAAAACAGGATAGGGTTATTTCCATTGGGTTGCATTCGGCAGAAGTGGGAAGTCGAGGGACATGCAAGCTAAAGAAGTGAAGCAAGAACCTGCATATTTGTCTCCATTTATGAACCGGGATCTATTTTACCTGGTCCACTGCTTTTCTGGTCAGCATATCCATCAGAAGTCCTAATAAAAATGACTAACTTGAAAATGTATTCTGTGGTGTATCACAGCCTTGTCATATTGCATGGGTTCTGCTTCGGAAGTCACCACCCATCCAGTAAATATAATCACAGAACTACAGACCTGACCGAAGTTAGGTAGACACAGTGTAATTCTGTCTGTGTACAGAGGAAAGAACAGAAGGTTAGGTTATGTGTTCAAGGTTGTACCTCTCTTTGTTAAAGAGCTAAGAGGAGAATCCAGATTTCCCACCTCTCAGCCTGATGTCGTTCCTTGAGAACACGAACTCATTCCCTAACACAGACACTGGTGGAGAAACGTGCCTTTGATTTCCTCATGCGATCTTTAGGTTGAAATACTCCGTTTTATATCTAACTCACTACGTCATAACACTGATCTCCCGGTTACTAAACATTTGAATTTTACTATCTGAATAGCTTGTTAAGCAGGACTTTGAAAAACAAAATCAAGTGTCCCAAGGTTTCCCCTCCCTGCAGCTGTTCTTTTCTCTAATACAGATAAAAACAGTAACTTTTGTTCCTGTAAGTAAAGCTTTGTAACCTCCTGCTCACACAGCACCCTGTTATGCTTGAATAGAGCCGCCAAGGCTCGAAACCATCGCGGTTTGACAAGCTATAGCGGTTTGTTCTCCTTCTGTCCACCCACAAGTTCAATGACAAAGGCCCTCTTGACCAAATACTTAAAAACTGGAGGGTTTCCTTTGCCTAATACTCAATCATTTTAGATTCACAAAAATCTGCTGGGTCGAGGTACATTTTCATTTTTTTTAAATTAAATCCTTTTTTTAAATTTTTTTTTTTTATTTATTTGAGAGACACAGAGAGAGAGAGAGACAGAGAGAGAGAGAGAGTGTGTGTGGTGTGTGTGTGTGGCCAGCTCAGCCCACCAGGGGGCAGGGCTGGCTGGCATGTGGTGCTGGGGGTTTGAACCGCGGTCCCTGATGCTTTGCCAAGCTTGTTCTAAGTAGGTGCTTTAGACCACTGAGCCATCTCTCCAGCCCCTCGAGGTACATTTTCAAATCCCAGAATAAAATCTTGTTTCCTAGTGGTCTCTCTATTCTCTTAAATACTCCAACACTATAAGGATTAGTTTAGTTTGTGTGTTTCATCATCAATTTTAAAACATGCTCCTTCTGGAATTTTCATGCCTGTGATTCTGTAATCGTGACTTGTCTTCTCTGTTGTGTTTTGTATAGATTTTTCCCTGTTCTTTTCTTCACTGCTAATATGGTGCTTGATTTTAAAAGTGACCGTGGAATTAATTCTACTACATTTTTACAATGAATGAACTCTATTACTTTTGCTATAGTATGTGTGTACATTGTAAGAAATGAAATCATGTGCATATATTTCTAAATTGCTCAGAAATATAGTCAAAATTTAAAGAAAAGTACAAATGCACATCTATGTCTTTTGTCTGTCTATGGTACTTGAAATTATTTTCTGAAAAATCATAATTTCACTTTTGCATACTGCTGAATGACTATTACAGGTTCCACTTTTTTGAAAGATGAATTCTATTATGAGTCTTGATTCCATCTTATAAATCTATGCTGCTGTTGAATATGTGAAAAATTCTTTTGCAACTCCACTTGCCAGAATTTGTGTTCAAAAGGAATTATTCCCCTCATGACTGTCTCATTTGATTGTATCTCTTACTTCTTCCAATTTCACTGCTATCCCATCCCCAAGACCCCTAAACTTGAGGATTTATGGCTACAAAAGCTCTCGTAATGGTTACACTTAAAGACTTAGACTTTATTAAACTGAGGTGGTCTGGAGCTGATAAATGCTTTGATTTAAAATTTTAAAAAAATCTCATTTACATTTTTAAAGGACAGTAGCTATTATTACACATAGTCAGCCTACAAGACCACATAAAATATTACACAAACTGAATTGGTGTAATATGCCACTAAAATCTGCTTATAATCTGAATTCTTTCTTAAAACTAATGACAGCGTTATTTGTTTGTTTGTTTATGTTTTGTGGTACCAGGGATTGAACTCAGGACCTTGCACTTGCCAGGCAGTCATTCATGCCACTGAGCTGTCTCCCTGGACCCAAAACTAAAAATATTGCTATTTAGTTAGGAACTCAAAATTTTGGTTTTTTTTTAAAGTTTATTTCCTCCATCAAATTATATTCCTTTGCATTTTTAAAAAATGTTACTGAAATCTATTACTTTTTAAAACTTTGGCTCTATGATCTTTTTAAAAATTACGGAAAAAATGTAAAACAGAATTTCACAACACAATAACAGGAGAACGACAAGACTTAATACACTGTAAATTGTCATCTTTAAATGATCTTCAGCTGAGATCGTTAAGTTGTGTTTCTAAAATGTGTCCACATAGAGTTTTCTTGTGTTCCAGAACAGCTTCTACATTATTTCTAGAACCATTTTCTGTGACTTGCTCTTCAGGTAATCTTGTCCAGCTCTAGTCCACAATCTTGATGGCTTAGTGTTTTTCCATCTTCTGCCACTCTTCCTCACATAATTTCTTTTTTATCTTAGCTCACTTGTCGCATTTGGAAACTAAACCTTTCATTTTCAGTCTTTGTTTTTTCACTGTGCCATCGCTTTTGCCTGGAGTATCTTCCCTTCTTAAGCTGGTTGGTGAGAATTTACTAATCAGAGCATTCAAAGGACATCCTGCACCAGTTCTTCCTCAGACTTCACATGTCTTTTCCCTCTCAGAAGCATTCCTTGTTTTACGCATTGTGTTAGTGCCCATATACCTAATAATAGTCACAGGTTCTGTCATGTTGTGTTGGGGGGACTTAGGAAAGTCCATCTCTCTAGCTAGGTCGTGTCCTCCTGTTTGGTGTCTCATATTCACGCATTGTTGGAAGGGTGTTTTTCAGAAGTCTTGGTACATCATAATCATATTGAAAATATATTCATTGTGGCTGAACAGAACCACAGCAATTTGCTATGGTTTATTAGTTCTGAATATGTTTATCTGGTTTATGGTGACTCTTTCATCTAGTTAACAAAAATATTACTTTTACCTGGTTACAAGACATTTACAATGAATAACTATGTGTTGAATATTTGCGGTGCGCCAAGATCTAAGCTAAGCAATTTGTTTCTTATTGTGTCCTGATTAGAGTGGATCTTTAGATAGTCTTGTGGGGCTCTCCTCTGTCATACCATGAAGCCACATTTTTATAGCATTATATTTTTAGTTTTCATCTTCAAGATCTTTCTGTGCATTTTTCTAAACTCTATCCCCCATACCTTTTGCTTTAACCCTGTGAAATTAAGCTGTATGAGCTTTCTTTGGAGTAGTGACCATTTCAAGAGGGCAATACCATCCATAAATTCCTCTTGACAATGCCTGGAGACATTTTTAATTATTAAAACTGGGGAAGGGCTCTTGGCATCCATGGGATAGCAACTCATGATACTGTTGACCCTTGTACAGTGACTGGAGGCAGGATATTCACAGCAAAGAAGTATCCAGACCAAAATGATGTGCTAGGGATCTAACTGCTATCGTTCAGCTCTGAAATGTCCTCCCAAAGTCTCTTGTGTTTGGAGAGTGATTCAGTCATGGAAGTGCTATTCTCATCAATGGACCCACCCATTGCTGAGCTCAGTAGCCATATGTTCTGCTCAGAGGCAAAGCCTGCTGGGAGGTGGGTTACTAGGAGTGTGACCTGGATGAGTATGTTCTTATTCCTGCACCTCCTTTCTCTCTCTCAGCTTGCTGGAGGCCATAGATAGACCAGTTTTCTTCCACCAAGCATTCTTCCATGCTGTTCCTGCTTGGGAGCCAGGTGACCTTGGGCTGATTGGTGAGCCTAAATAAACCTTAGTCCTTTAAATTATGGGTATTGGGTGTTTTTTCCCCAGTCATGGGAAAGTGACTGAGACACTAAGCAACATAATGGACTAAAGTCAGGAAGCATGCAGAGCTTTCAGTAGAAAAAACCAAAGTCTGGACTCACTGAGTACCTTTTATTCAAATCCCACATCAGAGTGCAGTGAGGGTTAAGAAAAAAATATTAGTCTGATAAAGGGACTTAGTTTGCAATTTTTCCCCATCAATCAGTGAATTGGTAGTCATTAAGGAAATGTACAATAGAAGAGATTTGAAGGAAACATGACACAATACAGAGACAGGTGTGAGTAAGGTACCAAGTTAATAGCGTACACCAAAGACTGTTTCTAGACAATGGAAAGAAATGAATGCCCATAATGAGCATATTAACGACAGCACTCCTTTGCTGTCCTTCATAGCCATGCTTGAAGGAGTAAGGGCTTGAAATTGCTATTATACAAAAGGGGGAAAGGTGCTTTCAGTGTTCTGAATGCAAAATGAAAGCATTTGTTTCAGGAATCCCAATGGGCTAGGGGAAAAGAAGACTATTAAAATGTGGGATCTTAGAAGAAATTGCTTCTGTAATTGACCAAGAAGTTACTTATCCACTAACAATTGCAGTGTAAACTTTAATTTCATAGCGTGGCACTTACCTGCAGGGTCAGTGGGCTCGCCTGACTTCCCTCCCACACTCCTGGGGCTATCATCTCTATGGGAGGCTCATTCTGTAATGTCATGCTGAATAGCACAGACCCAAGAATGGGTTTTCTGCAAAGGACATCACACAGAGACAAAAGTTACTCCATGAGGGAAGCTGTTGGTCTCTGTATATGTTTTCTTTTGGAATGTAAACATCATCAGCTATTTTTGTAGCTTCACTCAGTAGCCAGAACAGAAGTAAGATATTCCATGAGGCCAGACACCGAATAACAGTTCATTTTTAATATACCCCATTCATTGCCACTTGCAAAGATACCTAAATTTATTTTTCATATGAGAAAATTGTTTCCATAATCGTTCCTAACAGGATTTATTTGCAATTGCTGTCAAAGATGGTGACAAGGGGAACCTGAGAACCTCAAATTTATATTCTTGGAAGTAGGACTGCTTTTAGTCGATAAAGATGTTAACTGTTTAGAGCATTTTTTCTTGTTCTATAGAGTGGCTAAATTCCCTGGGCATTTTGAATTGTACATTTATAGAGATTTATATTAACATATCATATGATCCATGGACTCAAAATAGTTGTGAAAATTCACAGAAGAAATGTTCCTGCATGCATAAATAGAAAGATTCTTCATTTTTAAATACAGATACTTAAAAATTGGTTGTAAATTATCATAGTAAATGAGACTGCATAGAGGAAAGATTTTATACAGGCAAGAATTTATGGCTTTTAGAGCATTTGATAATATCAGAATCTGTATTTCTTCATAGAAATTTTAAAATGAAGCTATACCTCGTGTGTATATGAATCAAAATGTTAAAATGTTCCAATGATCATCAAGAACAGTGTTTGATTTTAACATGCCAAACTGAAAATGTAGAAGTAAAAAGTAAAACTCAAAGTTAACCTCATAAAAAAATTTAAAACTTCTTTTATAAGGACAACATATAATTCTATCTTGCTTTGTAACAGAAACTACATAAAAATATGAGGGCCCCAAAGTTCTGTCAAATAAAAATTTCTTTTCTTTTTTTTTTTTTTTTGAACCGGGGATTGAACTTAGGCCCTTGCTCTTGCCAGGCAAGCGCTTTTCCTACTGAGCTATCTCCCCAGCCCCTAAAATTTTCTTCTGTTTTTTTTTTTTTTAAACTTTAAATCCTACCTTTGTTATTAGTCTCTTATGTAAAAATATTGTCAGAAAACATCCGTACTTGGGAATATAGTTTGCCAACATTCTTAGAATTTTTTTTTTTTTACTGGCCTAACAATGCCACAGGACCAGTATTAGAAAGGTGAAATTTATTTATTTTTTTAATTAGGAATACCACTTAGGCAATCACTAATGTTATTTTCCCTTTGCCCTCCTTTTTGTTCTCAAAGGATGTATCCTTCACCCAGGATAGCCTGAGATACCCACACACTTGAGAAAAGCTTCAGGTTAAGGTCAGACAGTATACAAGAGTAAGAAAGAGAACATCGGATGTCAGATGTGGAGGCCTTGGGTCATAAAATTGTGCACAGCATTTAGAGAAACTGTTTTTATTCAGAATGAGTGGTAAGGAGGGCAAGGAGGGACAGGGTACAGAAGGTAGGGAAGAGGAATGACATGACAGAGTAGGTGGAGAATGGCAGAGAAGGAAAGCACGTTGTGGTGCTGGGTAGCAGAAGACAGAACAAAGTGAGTCTGTCCCGCTTGAATGTCCTGGTTTTCTATCCCATCTTCCTTCTCAGAAACGAATGAAGTATGAACAAAGAGAGCATGTTGTGATACTGAGGGAGATGGGCTTTTGCTCTCACTTCCTGTTTCAGATCCTTGACTAAAGCCACTTCTTAAACCATTTCTGCCTCTATTCGTGGCATGGTCATTAAACTTGAAGCAGAAGGAGCTCCTGAGTTTGGCTTCATGGAGCTTCTTTAGTCTCTGAGTGGATCAATTGGGATCTAAAGATGGCTAAGCATGTAAGAGAGTTCTCAGAGTGGTGTGGAGGGGTGCGAGAAAGTATGGTTAAAGGAATCTGGTGGAAGAACCAGACTGGAGTAAATCAGGCTTTTGAAGTAAAACCCTGATGGCTCCTTGTCTAAGCTGGAGAGTTCGTATCGCAAGCTACAGTCGCGGTGGACTTCAGTGATGACAAGCAGTTCTGATAGGCATGTCAGAAATCTCTAGGCTAATTGGATGTTTTGGTTTTTTCCCCCTCTCTTTTGTAATCCTGTGGATCTTTCCTCCTTCTTAGGAAGAAAGCGTAGGTGCGCGTAAGTGGAGTAAACAAACATTTTTATCCAAAAGAGACTTCATACCTATGAAAACACTATTAAAATGACTACTACTTTGTCATAGATGGCAAAATTTTCCCTCCTCATTAGTTAGAGGGTTGGATCGGATGAGGAGGAATGTGATGTAATAGTTGCATTTTGTCTTTGTATCTACTTTTCAGAATGTGCCATATAGCCGCGGCTTCACTCATTTGCATAGATTGGCCACATGCTAAAATATCAAAGGGATGTAAGCTGTCTCCCACAGAAGAAAAGTCTCATGGTAAGTGTCTGCTGTCTCTCTCCATGACTAGAATCTGTATTCAGCCACCACAGCCTTCATCTTGAAGAAACCAGAGTACTTGATGTAGGGTGTGTGTAAGAGTCCTGTTAGGAATTTGGGCGCAGGAAGAATGAACTTGTAGACCTAAAGGAAGCTGATCTACAGTAACATGTTTTTCAAAGCCATTTAGTGGGAGAAGAAAACAGACTCAGTACCATTTTTTTGGTGCTTTTATGCTTAGTGTTAGCTAATTTACTTTCCAATAATAGATTGTGCTTGCATACCTTTCTAGATGCTGCAATCTAAGCTGGTGCATGGAATTAAAATATTTTCACATTTAATACATCTAAGAGTGTTGATTATCTTAGGAACAAGAGGGAAATGGAAACTTAACAGCAGGCAGGTAGGGAACCCCAGTATGGGTTTGCTTTTATTACTGTGAAAAAGATTTATCATGTCTATTGAAATATAAAAACATTATGAAGTTGAGGTACACATGAAAATATAACAGAAAAGACAATCTATAAGGACCTCTCAATCCTATTTTCATTAAGCAGCCTTAATTGTCAAGTTTCCTGCCATTTCTGGAATAAAATTAGTGTTTTTCCAAAGAGATTTTATATAATTTCTGCTGCTGGTAAGATTAGGGAGATTCCAATTATCCTGGACAACAGGACTGAAATTCTTCTCAAAAAACACAAGCACAGACTATTCCTTGTACTCAAATATGTTGAGATTTTTTTAATGTGATGTCATTAGAAACAAACTACATTGCTAAGCATAACAACTCAAAATATTTCCTCCACAATTTCCTGAAGGACCTTTCCAACTTGAATATTTTCAAAATTCATTGACAAAAATATACAAGCCCCAATTTTTAGTATTCATAGTGGTTGTTTTATCTTCTTGTTCCTTGCTTCCTCAAGCAATAAAGTAAAGGGTTTGATGAAATAATTAATTTTTAATGAACATATCTCTCACTAGTATTCCGGGAATAAGAAGATTTTAGCAATGAGATGCTATCAGTATCTGGTCTGATGCTACAAAATAATTTGAGATTTTGACTTGATTCTGATTTGTTGCCTGAGAGCAGCATCCAGCCAAGGCTAAGGCAGTATCTTCCTTCAAGTGATGAGGTTTCCACAGTGTGTTTGTGGAATAGGATATGGCTTCTCATAGTAGGAAGTAAGCTGTCTCAAGTTAGAAAAAGCTGGAGAGAGATACAGGATCTGCTTTGTTGTTTTTGCTCTGTTAGACTGATGACTGACAGAAAACTTTCACCCTCCCTTTGTGATGGAGTGTTTCACCTGTAAATGAAGTATTTAGACTAATTGAGCTCTGAGAGTCTGTCTTGGACTAGAAAGGACAATAAAGAGTGAATGAAGGACAATATTTTTGCAATCTGATTTTGAAGATATATCTAAAAGGATTATCTGCCAGGTCAGGGTTAACAACTCAGGCTATTTTCTAAGGAATCAAATTGTTTGGGGATTAAGACCAATTTTAGTCCTCTGTTAAGATTTTGCACAAGTTTCTAATTTTCACAGGCTTTCTCATTATGGGAGTTTTGAAAATCCTGATGCTCTGGCAAAACCACTCACTGATCAATTAAGTCAGTCCTTGGGGGATATTTGGAATTTAATTTTATACTTTTGTATAAAATTCTATTGTTCAGTTGGGAAGGTGACTGTGTTGAAGCAGCTCACCACATTTCAGAAATGATGAGGAGCTACCATGTTATTTGCTGTGAACTTAAACTGGAGAGAGAGCTTGTGAAAGTCCTGAGCTGAGCCCATTCTTTCTTGCTGCAGTGTGGAGATGCTGTGAATGCAGATACAGTGAATGCCTCTTGTGCAAAAAAAAGGGCAGATTATAAATTTTTTTGGCTGAATTTTTCCTTTGAACTTGACATTTTTAATAGAAATGAATGGTAAACTTTCTGCTTGAAAATGTGGAATTTTATTTTTTTTTATTTTTAGGCATAATTGATGCATCTATAACTGATATATCTGAGCATAATCACGATTACTTCTTTGGAAATGCTCTTCTGGAAGTGAAAACATGTAGACATGTGGGAAGCATGCTTTTAGTCTGCATGTATGCTGCAAGCAATAATGATGTAAATGCTCATACAGTTCCACATAACTATGGCCAGCTCAACCTGTACTGTAAGATTCAACAGTAAATGCTTATAGTCCGAGGCCATTTGAGTGGAAATGAAATAAAAATGTCAGTGTTCTGAGATCTGGAAATATCTTTATCAAACAGATTTAGTCATAATTTCTGTAGCTTGTCACAATGAGCAATGTGGTCCATGTGGTTGCCTTTCCCCGACTGCCACACATACATATTTCTAAGATCTTAAAAAGACTGGGATTTCTGTAAAGTATTTAATACAGAAAAGAGATATTTTCTAATTTTTATTAGATACAGCCTCTCAGAAATGTTTTTCTAGATGCATATTGAAATACTAGGTGAAGTAAGTTGAGTTTTCTGATACCTCATTATCCCTTTCTTTTTAAAATTATTTATTTATTCATTTGGTGCAGGGTCTTGCTATTTAGCTCAGACCCATAGTGATCCTCCTGTCTCAGTCTCCCCAGCACTGGGATTACAGGTGTGTGGGCCTGGTACTGCATGCAGTACTGGGGATTGAACCTAGATCCTTGTGTTTTCCAGGCAGGCACTTAGACCACTGAGCTATCTCTGCAGCCCTATCTCTTCCTTTTTGAAAGTATCCCTTACAAAACCATCACCCCAGATCATTGCCAAATGGCATTCCTCATAGATATGCAATTTCCATGACCACCCGCTTATGAAATGTTTACCAGTGGTCACTTACGTGTAGCAAAACAATGTGGCAGCAGTAGTTTTCTTATAATCATCCCAAAAGAGTTTTTTTTTTTTAAAGATTAATCAATTATTTATTTATTTGTGTTTAGTACAGCGTCTACAGGTCTCACTTTGCAGATCAGACTCGTAGTGGTTGTCCAGTTTTCAGCCTCCCAAGTGCTGGGGTTACAGGTGCACACCACCACGGCCAGTCTCAATCACCATCTCAGCGTGCCCCAGGGGCAGGGCTGGCATGGCACACTGGGATGGAACCCTAGTCGCTGAGTCTGCCTAAGCAGGAGCTTTAATCTGCTGAGCTGTTGGCTGGCCCTTTCAAAAGAGCTTTGACATTTAGTTTGAAAGACAAAACAAACAAACAAACAAACAAACAAAAAACCTGCCTTCCTTTATGGTTAATATTTATTGATATGTGCAAAGTAGTGTACTTGATGATATGAAAGAATAAAATGGATTGAGCCTCCTTTCAGGGAACAACTGGAAATATTATTCTACACAAATGCGAGATCTTACAAATACTTCACTTGAAACAGTAAAGAAATCCCTCACGAGGAGGGAGGACTCCTGTATAGCTGCTCCTAGTGAGAAAGTAATGAAAGTTCTTAGCTCACAAATCAGATCTTTGAAATGCCGAACAGCAGTAGATATTTATTTTAGGGCTAAACTGTTTCTTGTAGACCTTTTAAAATCTTTAATTCTAAACCATCTATAGGGATTGATTTTTTTTTTCCAATTCAGTTCAGTACACAAACGTCTATTGATTACCTATTCATAGGAGACATTATGTTAGATGATAGACATTAAAGAGATAAACACATGCCCTGTCAAGGAACATATTCATGCAAAGGGGCTGAAATCTAGTAAAAGCATGAAATCTAATAATAAAGCAACACACACACACACACACACACACACACACACACACACACACCCTAGATCAGAATTAATCCAACAAAGAAAATTTAAAAGTTTTATCTTGGTTATTTCAATGATTATTTATATTGACTACATATTAGAATTCAAAACTAATGAAGAGCTTTCTCAACATTTTTACATTATAAAATCTTTTTTCAAGCAGCAAAGGCAGAAATAAATTTTATACTACTGTTGACATAACAATATGGATTGTAATTTTTTGGGCCTCCTGAATTTTGTCATTTGATTCTAAAGCAAGTCTTGGTGGGTGAAAAGTTAAGCTGATGTTTCTGAAATAGCTTTCTCTTAATAACCTAGAGAATCATAATTTATTTAATCAAGAGGTCTGAGTCGGAACGGCTCCTAAGAGTATGACTAGAGCAATTTTTCAATGGCCATTAGTTCTGAGAGGCTATCTAACCTCATAGTTGATTTAGTTTCATAAAATAATCACCTTAAAAGTTATCAAATATGTCTTCCTGGCAATAAAAGGTCAGTAAATCAGTTACACTGTATAATTTTGCCTTCATCAGAATTTCACGATTTATACCTTTTCTAAATGATTATAGTAATCCCAATCATTCTGAGTAACTAATTCCAGAGAAATTGGCTGGTCAGAGGAGAAAAAGTAATTGAGATAGGTTGTGCCAATACTTTGTCACTGTAATGACCTAGCTGACAAGCTGAGCATGAGGCCCACTTCGAAACCATTTCTACATTTGTGCTTTTCAGTTCTGTTTTTAATCATTATAATTTATTCTGAGATATTTCATTTTAGATTAAAATGCCTTCTTGATTTTCTCATTATGCCATATCCTGCGAAACATTTAGTTCCAGTAAGGTTTTATTAAGATAGGAGCTTTATAAATCACAAATGATATACGTACTCTTTTGGAAACAATGGAAGACAGGTCCAGGCCAATAAAGTTGGATGGTTACTTGTGCAGCCAATCCCAAACACTTTCACTGTGAGCATGGATTCCCTTGGAAGTGATTGTATTTCCAGAGGAAAATTGATCCTGACAATCAAAAGTAATAAGATTATTTTCTCAATTATAATAACATTTTATAAATACATTCTGATAACAAAATAGTCTGAGACAAAATCATTTAACTACTAGATAAGAGATTTGTCTTCAAATTTTTGGTTTAATTTTATCAAAAATGGAAATATAATTGTTATTAGGTCATGGTTCATTATTGAAGAATTTAAATAATTTTCATAAATTTGAATACATCCATTTAAAAATTATAACTTATGTATTTATCCTCAGTTTATGCTAAGCCCAGAAGAAAGAACGACTAAATTTGTAATACAGAGTTGGAGAAGCGAGGAAGTTACCAAAATAATCTTAGAGTGTGTTGGGTGGATTTTTATGAGATAGAGATTTGGAAAAGAATAACCCAGGGAGAAAAAAGGGCCCAGACAAGGACTGGTGTGATGGAAAGATTAGGTGGAGCTGAGAAATGGTTCTCCTTGCGGGCAGAACTAAATATGGGGTCAAATTGCTGAACAGAAAAGACAATCAGAATAAGGTTGTTGCCAGAATGCTAAAGAACTCTTAATGTCAGTCAAAAATATTTGAACTTTTTTCTAATAGCAAAAGGAAATATTTGAAAGAGAGATCTAGAATTTTTCACAATCTTAAACTTGGGTAATGATGAGGTTTAGGAATTTGAGGGATGATATTTATATAATTCCTGGATAAGTTAAAAACAGGGTTCTCAGTCAGTGTATCTAGACACAAAAATAAACATTCAGAAATCAACTGCATTCCTATATAGAAGCAATAAGCTCACTGAGAGAGAAATAAGAGAAACCACATCCTTTCCAACATCATCCAAAAAGCCAAACTACTTAGGAATAAATATAACAGGAAGTTAAGAGTTTATACAATGAAAACTACAGTACTCTGAAAAACAAGATCAAAAAGGATATCAGAAAATGCAACTGTATCTCTTGCTCATGATAGAAGAACCAATATCATGAAAATGGCCATAATCTCAGAATCTTTATCCAGATTTAATGCAATTCCAATCAGAATACTATGAATGTACCTCACAGAAACAGAAAAAAACACCCCTGAAATTCATTTGGAACCAGAAGAGACCGATAATAGAAAAGAAAAAAATTCTTGGCAACAAAGGCAAGGTAGGGGAACTCATATCACAGTTCCCGATATGAACCCATTCTACAAATCTACTGTGTGAAAAATAGCATGTATTGACAAAATAAACAAACCCAAGGAACAGATTAGAAAATGTAGAAACAGCTCCAAATACACTCAGCCACCTTCGTTTTGACAAAGGAGTCAAACACATTTACTGAAAGAATGATAACCTGTTAAATAAATGGGGCTGAAAAACTGGCTTTCCATATGCCAGAGACTAAAACTTCATCCATGCCTGTCATTTTACACTAAAATAGAAACAGATCAAACATCTAAATATTAAAACAGAAACACTGAATTTTCTGGAAGAGAGAATCAGTGGAAATCCTGAAAACATAGGTATAGGCAAAGATTACGTGAATAAAACTGCAATTGCACAGGAAATAGTACAAAGAATTAATAGCTGGGATCTCATCCTACTAAAAAGCTTTGTCACAGCAAAAGAAATCATCAACAAAGTGAAAATACAATCCACAGAGTGGGGAAAAGTTTTAGCTAGTTGTTCCTCCAGACAAAGAATATGTATCTCAAACATATAAAAAACTGAAACATGAACAAACCGCTCCATTCAAAACCCCAACACAAAATAGGCATCTGAAATGAATACATACTTCTTAGACAAAGTATACAAACGACAAATAAAGATATGAAAAATGTTCAACACTACTGGTTATTAGAGAGAAGCAAACTAAAACAATGCCAAGATTCGATCTCACTCCAAAAAAAAAGTGGTTATCATGA